CGAGGCAATTTTAGTGTTCATGGGGACTTCAACTACAGAAGTTTCAGCCAAGGGAGCCTCACTCACCGGAACTTCACCCACGGGAACATAAACTCCGGGAACTTCAGCTTCGAAAACTTCAATCGCGGGTGAAGGGAAGTCCAGTGGTTGTTGAGCTTTTTCAATAGTCTCCATCACCTTAGCTAACTCTGACTCCAGATTAAAGTTTTCTTGGCTACCTTCAACTAAGGCATCACGACGAGAGTTCAGAAAAGCCCAGCTTACATCAATTGCAACCTTATCTTCAAGAAGCTCATAATCTCTTTCCCAAGCAGCAATTTCATTCTTGAGACCTTCATTTTCATCAAGGGCTGAGTTGTAAGAGGCTTGGAGAGAGGCATGAGCTTTTTCCAAGGCATGCACCTTGTCTTCAGAACTTCGCAGATCTTCTTGTGTCTGAGTCAGACTCTGCATCAGATCCCCAGCATAAACTTCTTTTTGATTCAAAAAAGCTGTCAACTCATTAATTTCCTCATTTGCCTTAGTCAATTGCTCCGAAAAAGAAGCCTCAAGACGCTCTTTTTCTCGCTCTACTTGACTTGAAGAAGCCCTGATGACCGCAAGCTCAGAGGATAAGGCTCTCACTTGCTGTTCCAGGTTATTCTTGTTTTCTTGCAAATCTTCTATAGTGATTTGTGCACTATCAAATAAACCCTTCCAAGTAGCTGCCTCCAACTTAGATTCACGAGCTGCCCTCTCTGAATCAAGAACCGCCTTTTCAGAGTCACGTGCCACCTTCTCTAATAGAGAAACTCTGCTCATCAGCTCTGTACCAATAAGGTTGGCCTGAAAATGATAAGAAGAAAAATTAGAATTTTAAAAAAAATTCTGGCAAAGTAAAGAAAGAAGGGACATACCTTTAAGGTGGAATGAACTATATCGTTCATCAGAGTTAGACAGCTATGGCTATTCATTTTTTCTTTCTCAATTGGGCCTATTAAAGGCTCAAGCCAAACATCCACCTGACCGGATTTCCTCAAGAGGCTGTTGTTAGCAGGAACTTCGATAGTCACGCTCCTCATAGCAATACTTTTACTTGTAGAACCCACTTCTGTATTATGGACAGTAGAAGGAGGAGCGGTAGAAGAAGTAAAAACAGCATAGGGAGGTACGGAAGCAGATGGAGCAGGTAAGGAAGGAACCAAAGGCACGACAGAAGAAGGAAGAGAAGGAATTGAAGATATGGGAGTTGAAGAGAAAGATAGGGAGGTTCATCCAAAACAGGTCCTAACTCACCACTCTCAAAACCACTGACAAAAAGCTGGTTAATCGACTCATGAGTGTCATGAGGGGTGACAACGTCATCATCGGAGACAAGATTAACAGGCCCGGTAGGAGAAAGATGAGGGGAAGTTTCAGTTTCATCGGAAACGATACATCTCCTAACTCTTGGCCTTGTCATCAACGAACCGCCTTCATCTTCTTCGTCGGAGCTATCATCGTCTGTGGTTTTTCTTTTCAGAAGAATATCCTGAGCACTTTCTAAGGAAAGTTGGGTTCCTAAACGAGAGGCCGCAACTTTATCAGCGATAACGCCTCGAATAGCGAATCCTGACAAAAAGAAGGATGAAAGTTAAAACAATGAATTTTTACATAGAAGAGAGATAGAAACTCTTACCGTGAGTCTTCACTCTCCAACCGTAAATATTGGAGATGTATTTCCAAGACCTAGCCTCCATAAGTGCAGTCTTCAACAATTTATCTACCCAACCACGAAAATTGGGAATGTTCTCCACAACTCCCATGGTTGCTAAAAAAAAGAGGAAAACAAAGTTAAAGAAATTGATAAACTCGAAAGGAAGAGATACGAGAAAGGGTAAGGAACTTACGTGCAAAATTCCACTTCTCAGGGAAGGGAACATTTTCTTTACCCACCAAACCAACTGTGGGGGCAGCAACAAATCGGGCATACCAGCCACGATCATTGTCATCTTCCGGACTCACCAGAACCCTCTTACTCCTAGCCACTAAGGTGAAAACGCAATTACGAAATAACCTAGGGGAGTAGAGGTGAATTAGGTGAGGGAAGGTAAAGTTAACATCTGCTAAGTTAGCCAGATGTCTTAAACAAGCCACAACCCTCCATACCAACGGGCTAATCTGTGCTAGACATACTTTGAAGAAACGACAGAAATCGAGAATTACTGGGTCGATGGCTGGTTTAAACCCAAGAGTAAAAGGGTATGTGTAAACGAAAGAGAGTCCAGTCATATATGAAGTAATCCTTTGATTTGGATTGGGGATTACAATGGGAAAATCGTCATTCCAGTGGCAATCTTTGCGAACTATGGGAGCTAAAAGCTCTGTAATCAAAGTGGGGAAAGCATCAGCACGATCTAGACCTGCAACTTGGCTTTGAAGTGATTGTCTATCATGGTGAAAAGAAAAATCGTTAGGAACTATCTCCTCCACCAAAGGCTCTTGTAATGGTTCAGAGGTTTCCTTGCCCTTAGAAGATGATTTTTGGGTAAAAGAACCCCTGGTTCTAGAAGAAGAGCCAGGGTTAGAAGAAGGCATGGTAGAACCACCACCACGAGAAGATCCTAAACTACGAAGTCTTCCACCCCTTCTATGTCTGACAGGGGCATTGGGATAATTTTCTAAAGCAGGAGCTCTTCTAGGGTTAGGGTTCGAAGAAGACATGATGAGGAAGAAGACGAAGTGAATAAAAATTTGCACAGTTTGAGTGTTCGAAAGAGTTTTGTGTGGAAAAAATTAAAAGGTAAAATTGTATTTATAGGTAACCGTCAAAAAGTGAAAACGCAATAATGGAAGGGTCACAATAATGGTAACTGGTACTTCGTGAATAGTGGAGCTGTAAAAAAGAACCTTAAAAAGGGGTGCAAGTTGCAGAATCGATAAGGAGTTGACACGTGTGAAGAACATTAAATAGATGTGACCATTGAAGCATCAATCTTGTCACAGCATTAATGGTGACAAAAATTCTCCTTTTATGAAATCCACTTCCCAAATATTCAACTGACGAATAAATGGAAAGTGGGGGGACTATCTGTATTGGGAAAAATTTACTTTGCATATTGGAGATGACGTGTCATGACACGTAGACTGGTCAAACAGTCAAAGAATTAAGGTTGTTCAATAGGTACGAGCAGCAACAAACACGAGCAAGTTAAACAGAAGAGACACGAGCAGTCATGTGAGACATTCAATGCTCGTACCCGTTCAAGGCATTTAGATCGCAAAGATCGTGAAGAATCAAAGGAATGAATCTGACAGCAAATAAGAGCCCAGATACAGCATTTAATGAGCATTAAATGCGAGAAACGTTAGAGAATATGTATTTAATGTATATGATTACATAACGTAACATTTAATAGTCATTAACTGCCCATAATTGTCTTATTATGACAAAGGTAAAGTCTGTATTTCCCAAATGGCTATAAAAGGGAAAGTCACAAACAATTGTAAGTACGAAAAAAAACACTATTGAAATATACCCTGATTTACTAGCTTTCATATCTTATTCTCAAATTTCTTTCTTTATACTCTTTTCCGATTATCAGTAACCCGTGTTCTTCTAAATTCAAGCTTTGACTTAAAATCTAATTTTTGGTTAAACAATAATAGCATACATAAACGCGATTAAGTTACCTGCTAAATGGTTGGCAGAGACAGCATTTTGATTGTGCCTTGAATCAATCCTCCATTCCTTTAGAAAACGTATGAATGCAAAGCATTAACATGCCAAAAATAGATGAAAATTGTAGAGTACGAGGTGAAAAGTTTGGGACCAGACATTTCTTGACTAAGAATTGGTTCATATTGCCAAAATAATCGAGAATCAGTGAGCTGTAGCTTGAGCTAGCAAGCTCATCAACGGCGAAAGCTTCGAGAGAATGTTCAGAAGAGTTGAGAGAGAGAATGATAACCGCCAATCTATTATGTTATCAATCCACTGTATATATACAAGTAGCTAACTAACTAACCAACTAAGCATAATTAGACAGCTAGCTAATGACAGCTAAGCTAATGACAATTAAGCACAACCAACTTAACTAACTAAGCCACATGTGTATATATTATAAGATTCCCCCTCAAGCTGCAGAGTGCAGAATGTTGAGCACACCAAGCTTGCCTAGAAGATGCAAATGTTGAGCCTGGCTCAACCCCTTAGTGAGTAGTCCGCAAGCTGATCCTTGGTGTTCACATACACAGTCTTGACCAGCCAGTCTTGACCTTGTCACGAATGAAATGGCAATCAATCTCAATGTATTTGGTACGTTCATTGGAAGATGGGAGTGGAGCGAGCTGAATGGCTGATTTACTATCACTCAACACAGGAATATGAGCGTGAATGGTGACACCTAAGTCCTTAAAAAGGCCAAGCAACCAAGTGACTTCCGTAACTGCTGAAGCCATACTTCAATACTCTACTTCAACAGAGCTCCTAGAAATAGTTTGTTATTTTTTGGACTTCCAGGAGATGAGTGAATCACCAAATTTGACAACATATTCATTAATAGACCTACGAGTGTTTGGGCAGGCAGCACAATCAGAGTCACACCAATAATTGAGCTCATTTGTAGAACCAGGTTTCAGCCAAACACCTTGGCCTGGTGAATGCTTAAGTTATCTGACCATTCGAAGAGCAGATTCTCAAAGAGACCTCTTGGGTTGCTGCATGAATTGGCTAAGTGTCTGGATGGCATAGCAAATGTTAGGTCTAGTGATTGTAACATACATGAGCTTCCCTATAAGTCTCTAATAAGGCCCACCATCAGGTAGTAATGAATCTCCTCTAGCACCTGTTGCTTTGTCATGTTCTACAGTGGTGAGTTTAAGTTGGACTCTATAGGAGTAATGGCAGGCTTGGCTCCATTAAGTCCCAATTCAGAAATCAGCTCAAGCACATACTTCATTTGGTTTAGGATAACATGACGAGTGTCTAGCGTGTATACAATTTAAACTCGTACTCTGTCAAATAATAGTATAGAAAGATATCGAACCCACAGAGATTGGTATATCTATTCTACAGACGTTTCTTGTTTTAATTACTATTTGAGAAAATCAGAAAGAGTTGAGTTGTGAATTAACTAACTAAAAATGCATGAATAGAGTAATAGAAAATATTTTATTTTTCACAAATATAATAAAAAGGTGTTGGGATCATAACTTCACTATAATATTTCTGTTATATAATAGATAAAATTATCCTTCAATTTCTATTTCTCACAAATGTATAAATGCCTCTCACGATTATATTTATATATTATTACTTAAGTTGAACAATTAATTGCAGTACTCCTCTCGGTTATACAAATTAATCGTCAAAATAGTAATATTAAAGAGCCAGAAATATATGCTTAAACTGAAACACGCTCTTTTTAGTAAGTCCATTTCGGTTACCTTGTTACAACTGATTATTACATTATTCGCCTCTCTCGATTACAAACAAGTGTAGAATCAATTTTAACATATAAGAGCTAGATGTCACTATCACACCTCCTTTTTCTGCTACTACACCCCGCGAAGGGTATAATAAAGGAGTTTTTCCAATTAAAGGACAATCGAAACGTGATTCGTTTATGAAGAAGTTCAGAGTCGCCACTTGGGAGATTTATGGTGTCCCAAGTCACCTGTTTGAATCCCGAATCGAGGAAAAGGTTTGACTCTGTTTAACAGTCGCGAACCAGAAATCCGGGTAAGGAATTCTGTTAACTCGGGAGAAGGGGTTAGGCACTCCCGAGTTCCTGTGACGACCCGACCCGTCGTCTCATGTATTACAGCCCCGTTTTCCCCATTTATTGCTCTTTCATGTTTTATTATCAGCAACGAGTGAGTTAGAGTTGAGTTGAATTAGTTTGGATAGGAAATGAGACACTTAGTCTCTTTAAGGAAGGCTTGGTTTGGGAAAAGTCAACCGAACGTTAACTTATTAGTTAGAAGGCTCGGATGTGATTTCCGATGCTTCGGTTAGCTTCGGGAGGTGATTTGTGACTTAGGAGTGCGATCGGAATTGATTTTGGAGGTCCGGTGTAGAATTAGGCTTGAATTGGCGAAGTTAGCATTTTGGCGAATTCCGGTTGATAGGTGAGATTTTGATCCGAGTGTCGAAATGGAATTTCGAGAGTTGCCGTAGCTTCGATATGTGATTTGTGATGTGTGTGCAAAATTTCAGGTCATTCGGACGTCGTTTGGTTGGGTTTTTGATCGAATGCGTGTTTCGAAAGTTTTTAAAGAACTTAGGCTTGAATCCGACGAGAATTGATGATTTAGTGTTGTTTGATGTGTTGTGATGATTAGAACAAGTTTGGATAATGTTTTAAGACATGTTGGTGCTTTTGGTTGAGGTCCCGGGGGCCTCGGGGTATTTTCGGCGGGTCAATCGGACCATTTTTGGACTTGAGATTGCAGGTTTCAGCTGTTGGTGTTGCATAAAAATATTGTTCATCGCGTTCGCGTGGAGTGAGTCGCGAACGCGTAGAGTAAATCTGAGGGCAAGGAAATTTGGCCTATGCGTTCGCATCAGTGGTCACGCGATCGCGTAGGGGAAGTGGGTCAGCCATCGCATTCGCGTGTGAGAGGTTCGCGATCGCGTAGTATTAGTTGATAGTGCATCGCGTTCGCAGGGCTCTAATCGCGTTCGCGTAGAGTTATTTTGAGAGGCTGTTTGTGTTACGCGATTGCGGGGCCTAGGTTGCGATCGCGTAGAAGGAAATGCAGGAGCTGGGCAGCGAGTTTATAAACATTTCATCTGCGAGTTTTAGTCATTTTTCCACCATTGTTGAGTATTTTGAGAGCTCTTTGGGACAAATTGAAGAACGATTCAAGGAGGATTGATTGGAGGTAAGTCTCGTGACCTAGAAACGCTACTTTATTAAAGAGTCAACCTTTAATTCTTGGAAAATTGGGTAAAAACTTGAAGAACTAGGGCTTGGTTTTTGAAATGAAAATTTTGGGATTTGAAAGGGCATTTGAACTCCTATTTTGGTAAATTTGATATGCACGGACTCGTGGCGAGAGGAATCCGGTAATGTGAGTTTCATAATTTTTTGAGAAGTGGGCCCGGGGCTCGGGTTTTGCTAGTTTCGAGATTTTTGTTATATTTTGATTGTTTTCGATTGGGTATTGTTCCCTTGGCATAGTGTGATGTATTCGCTTTGATTTTGGTTAGATTCGGCGCGCGTGGAGGCCGATTTAAGGGGCAAAGGCGTCGCGAGCTAGAGTTTTCGCCGGTTCGAGGTGAGTAATACTTGTAAATGATATCCTGAGGGTTTGAAACCCCGGATTTGCACATCATAGTGCTGTATTGTGGTGACTTGCACGCCAGGTATGAGCGTGGGGTAGAGCACCGTTGGGGATTGCGACTTAGTCCGTCCCGGTTGTTGGTTTTATTGCGTAATTGACTGAAACTACTTGTTATCGTCATTGTTTGGATTGATTGGTTTTGGGCTTCGTGCCGAGTATTTGAATCCTTTAGGGATTATTATCACTGTTTTCATGACACTTAGCATATTAAATGATTCCAGTCTTGAGTTAAACCCTGTTTTGAAATGTGTAGTCATATTGCTAAAGTTTAAAGACTTAAATTGCATTTTTCTGATGTTTTGAGTTAAAAGCTATTACCTGACATTGCCCGAGTGGCTCATTTGCATGTTCTGGACTGAGGATGGATCGGGCTGCACGCCGCAGCGATGCTATGATGATATTGCGCTTGGGCTGTAGGAGCCCCTCCGGAGTCTGAACCCCCACAGTGAGTGCGGGTACCCAAATGGATCGGGCTGCACGCCGCAGCGGTCATATGCATTGCATTGCATTCATGCATTGTTTCCTGTTTGTACTACGTGGCATGACATTCAGCACTCTCATTTCATTGGCATTTATGCTACTTCTTGCACTGCTTACCAGACGCCCCAGACGCCCTGGTATTAATTGTTAGTGTAGTGTTGTGCCCTAGGGGCTGACTCATGTGCGGATTTGCACTATCTGATTATGCATTCATTTGCTTGACTGTTGGAAAAAGATGTTTTCAAAAGAGGTTTTAAAATGAGTCAGATATTTTCTAAAGGATTTTTCACGGTTTCATTGTTTTTCTGAGAGAGTTGTACTGTCCTATATAGCGTGATGGAGTGCTCTTACGTGATTTCTTGCCTCTCAGTTATTATTTACTCTTATTACTCACTGAGTTGGAAGTACTCACTTTACTCCCTGCACCTCGCGTGCAGTTGCAGGTATTGTACACCCGGTAGCGGGTTATTTAGCTGATTGAAGGTATGGCTATTGTAGCTGAGTAAGGTGACCGCCAGCGTTCGCGGCACCGGATGTTGTCTTTTGATTTCCAGAATTTTCCATATATATTATTATCGGCCCTGTAGTTGTGTTCAGGCTTTTCTTTAGATGCTCGTGACTTGTGACACCCCGGTCGGGTTGTGTTGGGTTGTACATACTGGTTATTATTGTCGTTAAGCTATATTTATCTATACATTTATGTTTAATAATTGTTAAAGAAACGGATTGGGTTAGATGGCTGGCCTTGTCTTCACGAGAGGCGCCATCACGACCGGGTATGGAAATTAGGTCGTGACAACACTCCGGACTGAAGTATCCAAATTAGACTAGATCAAGTCATAAATCATAAGACAACAGAATTAAGTAGCTAACTACAGTAGGAATCAACATTTTATTTGGGAACTTCAATTCAAATCCACAGATCTCTAGATTAAGCTCAATCATGCTTTAATTTCACCATGGTTTCAAGGGGATACCTGGGAATAATGGAAAACAAAGAAGTGAGGTTCAGCAGAAGAAAACAACGGCAGCAGTATAACAGGATTCAACACCAGCAGCCCATTTCAACCAGAAGAAATGACAAGAAGCAGTCCAAAACAACTCTCAATCGAACAGTAACCAAAACTAATCTTCAAAACCCAACTCTTAAAACCGAACTCAATCCATTTTTAAACCCCAGATGATTAAAATGTTCTCCAGAAATTAACAGTAACCAAATTGCCACAGTGACCAATAAAACAGTAAAAATGCAGCCATTTGATTTTTTTCAGATTTTCAGCTCTCCAATCCCTTAGGTCTATTTTCTGTATTTTAGCTCTCTCCTCCTTTTAAGACTGACTAGCAAGAAAAATATACAATGCCTTTATAGGCAAGTCATTAGGGCAAACTTCAGAATTAGGTCTTTACCCCTTTTTGAACTTTTATTTTAACTAAGTTACCCCTAAATTCCTAACTTGCTACCCAAGTAAGTGCTATAAAAAACCAGTAATTGCAATTCTAACCCCTACCTAGAAGCTTCTAAATCAGTTACCCAAGATTCCCTACCCAAATTACCCTTTAAACCTTGTCAATTTACTTTACTTACTCAAACGGACCTTAGGTCTAAATGACAAAGCCAATGGGTCTGCACA